CGTTCCACGGGCGCGACGGGAAAATCAGTTTAACTCCCGAACGAACGTTCGCCGCCTACCACGGCTAATCCCAGATCCAGGGGGAAGTTCACGACGGGGGTGTAAACCCGAGAATGTTGCGGCTAAGCCAACCTCCCTCCCTCACGATCCCGCTACCCCTCTTCGTTCTCCGTTGCTCCGGCAGCTATCCTCTTCGTCTCCATCGGTTGGCAGCGTTCGGCGACGATACCTGCTGCGAGGCAGCCTAGGCCAACCTCGAAGCTTATCCCGACGACACTCGTTCGATACCGTAAAAGCCTGGGCCGCGAGGGGGGTGGACAGGAAGCAAGAACGAAACGGTGGAGGAGGATGCGCTGGTAGATGGGGTATGATGCCGGTAGCTACGAGCGACCCTAGCCAGGACACCGCCGCCATCAGAAGCACCGAGGATCGCGGACCCCCGCCGAGGGATCCCATAAAATAGCTCGAGTAACTTTTTTACTTTATCACCCGCCGGCCTTCCCGCGAGCCACTTGGACCTACCCTATGTGTTCGTGTGTACACACCGGTCTTCCAGAGGGGCGCGAATTCACCGTGCCCGACCGCCGCCTCGACCACGATTCTCTTCTTCGACCTTCCCTCTGCTTCCCACTCTTCTTCTTCTTCTTCTTCTTCTTCTTCTTCTTCTTCTTTCTTTCTTTTTTTTCCCACGACCCAGACCCAGACCCCGTCGCCTGACTTTTGTAACGTCGATAAACTCCGTCGGTCTAGTTTACCTTATCGTTGACGCTCCGCGGGAGAGGAACAGAGAACCAGGTAGGGTTCTCGGCGACCGAAACTTTTCGGAACGAAAGTTGAAACGTTCCCGGCCGGAGAACTTCTTCCTTTAGCCGTCCTCCCGCGGAGTCGCGCGCGCGCCCTCCCGTTCCCTCCCAATTAACGGGGAATTAGGGGAAATTTGCTCGGGGAACGTCGATGGGAAACGGAATTGAAAAACTGACGAACGGAGAATCGGCAAGGGCGGAAGGGGCCGCTGTCGCGTATCGTTAGCAGCCGCCGCCGCGCTCTTTGCTTATCGCGTCGCGTCGCTTTTTCGACCGTGCCCGCCGCGCTTTGACCGGCCCTCCCATCCCTTTCGCGAGGCGTCCGCTCGTTTTTCCGTTACGTCTACTCTATCAATTACCGATAAAAACAACGCTCGCTCGCCGCGGCGGCGCGGCGTAACACGTCGCTGCCACTGACGGAATGTAAATTATCCCGGCGTGATAAACCACGCGGAACATCGGCTGGGAACCGCCGCGTTGTCTCGCGGAAATATCGACGGAGGAACGCTTTTCAGGCGGCCTGCGACGTAACACGCTTTTCGCGAGCCGGTCGACGAGCTGCGATTCCGCTGCTGTTGCCCGATCGAGTAATTATAACAGCGTTGCCTCGGTTTCGACGGACTGTTCTTATTAGCTTAACATTAAGGAACGCGCGTGAAACGAAACGCGACAAGGTGAAATCTGACGATGGAAAATTACATTAACCCTTTGCACTCGAGAGGCGACTTCCAGTCGCCAGATGATTTAATCCAGGAAAATTATAAACCTTGGGATTTACCATTAACCTTTGTATACTGCATCAGTATGTGAGCTATTACAAGAAAATAGTTTTGTTACCTAATTTATGTATGATTTATTGTTAAATTCATTTTAAAGAATCTTGTCTATATCAAATTAGAAAGTATAGAATATTTCAAGTGAAAAACTTTCGAGTGCAAAGGGTTAACCTATACAGAGTGTTACCTCGTCTGTTACCTCTAACGTTACCTCGCCTGACGAGAAAGAGTTTGCAACGAGAGTTGCAGGGTACGGAGTACAATTGATATCAGTAAGTATTATATCATACCCTGCAATTCTTAATCCAAACTTCTGTCACACGAGTAGTTGAAAAATCGTGCGTCGCGTTCGAGGTAGCACTCTGTAGATCCACGTAAAACATCTCTGTTGCATCTCGTTTCACTTGCACTCTTGCGAAACTACGCCAATAAGAAAAATCCGTCGGAACCACAGTGTCGTTAACTACAGTGCGTTACTCGCGTGAGGAAAGCCGGCCTGTAGCTGTAAAGTGAAGAAGAGTAAGATGATTCGGCTGAAAAGTCGTATCGAAATTCCGCCATTACTATCGCCCCTTTTCACGTTTAAACCACTGGCCAGCTAGGATCATGTCGGTAATTGTAGATCCACGCAGTTTCAGTTCCTAAATAAGCTGACTCGCGAAACACGGATGATACGCGGAAATTGGATTCTTCCTCACGTGTAGTCGCATAAATGATGTTCCCCGACCGCGTTACGATCGCGATCTTCCGGCGGCGACTCGAATTGACAGCGATCAATCGCGAGAGATGGAAGTCTAGACGGAACGCGACTCTCGTTGTTATTCGTATGAAAGATGCAGCGGTGGAAACGAAGAATCGGAGGCGAACAGCCACGAACCATGCGGCGGGAGGGGGTGTGTAAAGGGTGGGACCACGGAGCTGGCGAAGAGAAAGATAAATAGATGGATAGACAGGAAGCCGGCGGCATCCGGCCGTCGAGCTTTCGTCCCTCTACCCTCGAGGATGATTTTTCGAGGACGCGCGACAGCCGGCGAACCTCCGAGGAAATCTTCGTGCTCGACCTCGGCTATTTCCCTATCCACGACACAGACGGGACAGACGGGGAGGATCTGCATTAACTATGGATTCAGAGCTCATCCTCCTTTCGAGATTCTTTTTGCGGTTTCCATTTTTACCATCTCCGTTCTCCCGCTGTCCCTTCCGAGAACCGCGTCCTTTGACCGACAGATTCCCGTTCGCGGGCCGATGGATATCCGCGAGCAGCGTCGAAGATTTAACCTGTTAACCGGGGATCAGCGAGTGCACGTTTGCGTTCATACTTTATGGCTGATTTCGGGATTACTTGTTTCCCTTCCACCAGAGACTTCCGCAACGGCTTTTATTCCCAGCGTTCGCGGAAACAGCGATGTTACGGTTGCATAGGTTACGGTATAAATCGTATCGGATCGTTATTCCTGGCGGTTATTCGTGGCTCGGAAATTGTTCGGTTAATAGGTCAAGGGAGAATTAAAGCATCGGGCAAACAACTAATTATCGTGAAAGATATAGCCGCGCGATTCTCGCTGTTGGAATCTACACTGAAATCACCTATTCCCTGAAATCCTCTCGTTTCTTTGAACGTTAACCCGCTCCGACACGTAGAATCTATCTTTCTCCCGGCGAGAAGCGGAGTCTCCGTATCGCGAGCGGGATCGAAGATCGCCGGAGCAATTAATTATCGACAACGTCGGTCGCGCCGCAGTTGTCGCAGAGTCGGCGCAAAGCTAGTCGAATTAGGGAGCACCGGAGCGACTGCGTCGCGTAATTACCCCGCGATTACCGACTCTGATATCCATTCAATGATCGGCCGAGGTTCGTCATTCAAGCGAAACAAGCGGCCATCGATATCCGCGGAAAAGGCAACGCCGATATCCGCCTGTACTCGAGCGAGACGCGATCGGTGCGCTGTGCGGGCGGACAAGCCCACGAGGCGTTTCCCTCGTCTCTGTCCGTCGTCGGGTCCCGTTGCGCGACGCAGCTTCAGCGTCGACGAGACTTTCAACGGCGTGCGTGGTCCCCCAAACGGCGTTCACTTTCGCCGTTCGAGCAGAATCCTTCTTGTGCGGCGAGTAACGCCGACAATCCCGGTAACGAACGCGCCGTTCCGGCGACGCGGAACGCGATATATCCGCGGCTTTTACGAGCCGCTTGAAACGCAACGGCCAGCGAACCCGAAAACCCAACGGCGCACAACCGGCCGTAGATTCGTCGCGCACTAAAACCAAACGCATCGGAAAACGCGCGCGTCCGCGACGTACAGTCTCGTCGGTTCTCGAAGGATCGAAGCTGTGCACGCCGGAACGTTTTTCAGTCCGACCGGCTCCGGCGTGTCGGCGATGCTGTTTCTCGCGCACCGTTGTCGTTCGACCATTATCTGCGATCGAACACCTCGCACTGTTTCTTTCCTTTCATCGGTCGCGGCGCGGGATCACCATCGATCGTGCGATTCGACCGCGAGTCGTGTTCCTTCGTACGAATCGAAACCTCTACACTTCGGACGTCGAAACTTTCAATACATCCAAACGCGAAATTTTTAGACGAAGCAAACTTCTTTAACACTAGATTCACGGACATTATTCTACAGATTATTCTACTGTACCTAAAAGGTTACTCGATCCTCTATATAAATCACGAGAATCGTTTTAGAGTATTGGAATAATTGAACGAATCAAAATCGATTGGAACTGTTACTAAATAATGTTAAAAGCTTTCGATATCTATGAATTCAACGTGACCCGTCAATCTAGTGTTAATTCACACTTATCCTCGGTCCAGAATTGTGTGATGGACGTCTCGTCGGAGGGCAATGAATGTCGATAGCGAGAAAAGTGCAGAGGACGGAACGGTGACGACTCCGGTCACGAAACGCGCCATCAATAATGCCCGCGATCCGCGAATAGAGTTCGCGAACGTACCCGGCACAGTCTAAAGAGTTCGCATAGTCCTCGGACAGTTCATAATAGTGTCTTTCCGCGCAAAGTGGATTTCTCTGGTCGATTACTCACCAACATTCTGCGCGACAATCGGGTCGAGTGCCACCAACAGGACGAGGAAAATAGGAGTCATATTGACCACCCTCTTTCCCGTCTTCCCTCGGTCACCCCTGATCACTGCACACTTATTACCACCGATGCAGCGTTCCACCTATGAAAATAGAAATCACCCTCGTCATAACATACCACCTTCACTGCCGGCGAGCAGGCTGGACGTAGAGATTCGCGTGTTCTCGGGACAGAGAACCCGCCAGCGATCTTCCGTGGCGGATGCTGCACGGGTTTTCGTTAACGGAGAAACGATTTGGACGGGGTGAATTCTCGAGCAGTGGGATCACTGGATACACGGCGAACGCTCTTCCGTCGCGGGAACGTTCGACCAGCTCCCGCCGGGTTGCGTAAAAAAATACTTTTCGCTGGGTCGATGTGTGACGGACAACGCGCACCGCCGAGGGAAATGGGAACGCTTATTCAGCGAGAGGCAAGCGTAACTATCGACACGCGCCATTTACCATCGGACGGCTGGCGTTGTTGTTGTTCGTCGTCGTCGTCGTCGTCGTCGTCGTCGTCGTCGTCGTCGTGGTACTCGTTGTTCTATATCCTACGTGGAAACGGTTAAAGACAAAAACGAGCAGTTTTTCCGGAGCATCGTTAACGACCGCGCGCACTCTTTTCGTAGCCCGAACGCGATAGCGGCGAGTCGCTGCTGCTGGCCCGACCCGGCGTGTTCACGTCGTCATCCCTTCGCCGCGACGCATTCTTCCGCCCCCTTTCTTCTTCTTCCTCTTCCACCGCCGCCTCTTCCTCTTCCTCTCCGTCGTACCACCGTTCTTCTTCCGCAATCGCGAAAAGAAGATCGATCTCGCGAACGACGTCACCGACCTCGTTCCCAAAAACTACCCCCTCGACGTATTTCCCCGGGGGCCGTCGACGCACTCCGTCTTCCTTTCCCGCGGCCGTTCCTCGGCCTCTTCCCACGGATCCGTTGCCCTCCTCTCGATCCAGCTACGAGCACCGGCAAGGCGAACGAGCCACGCCGCGGAAGAAGAACACCGGGACCCTGATGAACGCGCTTCCTCCTTTCCTCCCCGCCTGCGCCGCGCCAGGACCTCTCAACATACCCTTCCCGTCCGGTGATCGCGATAGTCGCCGAACGATTACCCAGACTCTTTCTTCCGATGATTCCACGACCATCCCATATTTTTCTCGGACCGACGCCCGCCAGGTAAAACCCTCGGGGAGCCTCTACGTCAAGGCACCGCGGGATAGGCGTTCACCTCGCGCACGGAAACGTCGACTCCGGCTTCCGGCAGCCGCCGTTACATCTCCATACCGATTATCTCCGGCACTGGTTCGCCCTCGGCGGCCCCGATCGAAATTACATTGGTCCGCTTCATTCTATCTTCTCGGATCATACGGTTCCAATCGTTGCGTACTCTTCCCTATCGCTTCGCTGCTCCGCGAGATTCTCGATGATCGTCGAATTGTTCAATTCCCGAATTCTCGATCGTCGCTTTTACCAGCGAAAATTTCCAGGGAGGAAAAGAACGATTGGAAATGCTGATTTTTTCAGCTCCGCCGGGGAGTTTGTAGATTCCACGGGTTCACACGGTTTGGAGAACGGACCGGATTAAGGGCCGACGCGCGAGAGATCAAACTTCGGCGAGCTTTAAATCGCTTCGGAACTCCGTCGCGAGTTTCCTCCCTTCCATGGTCGCGGCACCCTGCGTTTCTGGGACCACTCCTCTCTTTCGTCTCCGCGTTTCCGGCCCCCTTCTCCCGGCGAGTCGCGTTTTCACTTCGGCCACTTCCTTCTTCCCCACGATGAATCCCCGAATTCGACGTTCGATCCTGAGGACGACGTCGCCAGCGTTTCGAAGAACGATACCACGGTCACACTGTGCAGGCACCTCGCGGCCCCGCGGGGATTTCGCGGAACGGAAGCGACCGGAGAGAGACGGGGGTTGACGCGCGCGATTCTCGCCGCGTACTCGCGGTCCAATTACAAATAGCCCTCGCGGAGACGCGAGACCGCGTTAGGGGTAGTTTTCTGAACGCGCGCTGCGGCTTGACTGACTCACCCCCATACCCCGCGACGATACCCCCTCGCAGCCTACCGGCGGGCTCCGCGCATGCGTCCCATCCCCTCTGGCCCGAGATCCGACCACGGAACGCGTACGAATTTGCGCCGGGAAAGGTTTCCGTTGTCATCGCGGGGCTTATCAAAAACCGAAAGAGTCAACGAATCGGAGGTGGGAAGGAGGAAACTAATATTCGTCGAGACACCACCGTAGAATCAACCCTTAATCAGCGAAATTGGTGTGGTGGGGGTATGAGTAAAATGGGAACGAGAGTAAAGGGCGAAATCAACGGGAGAAAGTGAATGGAGGAAAGAGACCGGGAACAGGGGGGCGGCTGGGAAAGAAAAAGGAAACGGCGGAGAGAGAAAAGAGAGTCCCGCGGAGGGAGGGTGGTTTCGGAGTCGGTTTAAACGCGACGCATGCGTCTCCCTCGTAGGAGGATGTCCGGGGTGAGCCGACGCCGTGCTCTGGCCGACGTATCGCAGTTTCTAGCTCGATGTTTGTCCGCGTGGTACTCCCAGGGACGGCGGTGCTCGTGGCGACCACGAGGGTGCCGTGACACGGTCCGGAACAGATCGGCGCCGGCCGCGAGAGACGCGCGATTTCTGCGGGCAACGCGGCCAAGGAGGAACATGTACACGTCGACACGGCGTTCTCCGCGATCTTCGACGCTTGCGCCCCCGGCTGCTCGTGGACGCGATCCGTTACGGTTTTTTCCCCTTTTTCCTGCCACTTCGACGCGAACCACGGACACCTTCGTCCAACCACGGAACCTCGGAGGCCCCTGGGAGTACGCCGAGCTTCCTCCGACACGAAGAAACTATCTTCCTCCCTCGACGAACTCACCGCGACACTCTTTCCGAGCAGGTAAGTTGCCAAAGCGTGTCTACTTCGAAACTTCCTTCTCTCTCGACACACTCTCTCTCTCTCTCTCTTTCTTTCTATTTCTTTTGCTCTCTTCGACTTCGTTGTGTCGAGGAAACTGAATAACGTACTCCGCGGCGCGTCGTTCCCGGTGAAAACCTCCTGTATTCGCGAGGCGGGTTTTTCTAATCTTGGATCGCGTTAATTTTATTTGAACGCGTGCACGCGGCACCCGCCTCCCCTCGCGTTCTCGTCGATCGCGCGCCGACTCCCGAACGGGGACGGGGAAAAGTGTACGGACGGAGATAACGAAATTGCCGTGCCCCCGTCGCAGAGACGAGATCCCCGCGAGCGAGATACCAGACGTCGGCCACGCTTTAACGTTATAATAACCTGTCCATTAGAGGCTGGAGTCGCGATTAGAATCGCGCGAGCGCGAAATAATTACGCGTTCATCCGCTAACTCGAGTCCCGAACGAACGACCGGCTTTCGACGATCCTTCGCGCCAATTTTTAAGGACCTGACGGAGGGAGAACGCGACTCGTTGCGTTGACGGACGCTTGTGAATTATACACGACCGACGTTTTTTCCCGACGAAATAGGAATCCGTTACTATGTTGGAATATCGGTTGAACCGAATTTTATTTACGTCCCCAGGATGCAAGATTAAAAAGATCGCTGGGTCAGATTCAAACTTCCACTGTCTCGTTCATCAGATTATTTCCGTTCGGGGGAATTCTTACGTCACCGGAATCACCGGCGAACGCGACAGCGTCGCTCTGTAATACATCTCGCGACCGGTTCCGCCGGTTTAATCCCGACAGGAAAAACTATGCATTTACTAGAGACTAATTAATCGTTGCATTCACCGTGGAGCGAGTGAAACTCGTCACGTGACTCGACGTTACGGAGCGAGGGGTTGGAAGTTGAACGGTGACTCGGTCGAAACTCCCGCAAAATCTCGAGCAATCTTCGCTGCTTTATTATCCTGTAATAAAATTTCCGCGGCTTTATTGATCCAGTGGATCAGCCGCTTCGAGTCCCAAGTAGAATCCGCTGCTCGGAATCGTAAGAAAAGACATGCCGCGGAGTCGGGCGAACGATCGCGAGGAAAGAAACGTCGATGCAACGTTGACCCGCGGAGTTGACCGCGTAATACCGTTCTTCCGTTGCGACCTGTGTAACTAAACTCTCCAAGTATCCTGTTTTACGAGCGCGCGCGACTGTTCCAGAAATACTCGGCGACCGATAGCGAACGAGCTTTGTCCGGCGATGCTCTCTGCGATGCTGAAAACCAGCACCGAAAGGCGCGCGGCGCGATACACGCGCGCGCCTGTCATCCGATAACGTTTACGATAGATTTCCCGGCGGCTTTTTTTCTCCGGCGCCCGCCCGCGCGCCCGGGCGCAACGCTCTGATCCGCTTAACCGGAATTACGAATTTATAATCCGGATTAACGTATTTCAGCACTACAAAGGGGGCGGGCCGGGTTCGCAGGCGGCGCGTTATTTTGTGCGGGGGCAGAGCGACGGTAAGGCGGCGCGGTTCGTTTCCCGGTTCAATACGCGTCGCGCGGTTCCCCCGCGAGTACACCTTTTCTCGGCGCGACGCGGAGAGAAAGGTGAAAAAAAAGAAGCGAGCAGAAAGGCGGAAAAACCGGAGGAAAAGGCGATGGCTGGCCGGGATCGCGCCGCGCGATCCTGCAGGTAAAACGTCGCGGAACAATCGCGCATCGCGCGCATTCTGGTAACTTATGAATAAACATTTCTTGGCGGCGTCCAGTGGAAAATTACGCTCGGAAATATCCCTATCCTCCGCGGCCGCTATTCTTCGCTTCTCCTTCGTTCCTCGGTCTCGCTTCTCGGCCGGCTCGGTTCTCCTTCGGCCAGACCGCGCCGCGCTCTCGTCGCTCGTCGTGCGGCGTCGGATGGGAATTCCGGCGGGCAGCGTCGGAATTCAAAAGCTGTGAGCCGGGGGACGGTGTGATTTTTCAACGGCGCGGCCGGAAATTGAACGCGGTCGAGGCGAACCGTGGCCGTGGTGCCCGCGATAAAATAATTCGGTCAGTTTCGCGTTGCGCCGATGTTTATAAATTGTAAATCGAGCCTCGCCCCATCTCGCTCGCGGCCGTTACCGCGATTAATGTTGACACGGGTCCGGTTGCGTTGATAATTAGTTGATCGTCGCGCTGATATATGCCGCGCG